CTCAGGCTCCTGATGTGCCATCGACCCTTCCCCTTTCAGTGCTGGGAGCTAGCAACCCAAACACCCCCACTGAATGTTAGTAAGGGGGCAACAGTCCCCTTACATAAATAACTATGAGGAAGGGCTCAAAACCCAGGTCTGCTCGTAGTCATCACCTGCTCTTTCACCCAGACTGTGTTATCATTAGGGGTTCCTCTAGGGCAGGAATTATCCTCTGGCTTATAATGAGTTCATGAGACAGTTAGGAAACAGTCCAGTCCTTAGAAACATCACTGATCTGGTGGACATTAGTGAATAGTTAACTTTCTAAGCAACTGCCTTTCCACCATGCTCTAAAACAAAACCCATACCGTGGGTAATGGCAAAAGCTCACTCCTTCCTGGAGTTTGGTTTTATTAATAAAGCAATAATCATAACATTACATAAAGTGCAGCTCAAGCCTCTTTCAGAGGCTTGGCTGCTCCTAGGGTTCCTCTTTCAGGATGGCTCAGCCCACACCCTAGATCCTCTGTTCCTAGAAAGCCACTCCCATTTCCCTTTTATCTGGATGGAGAAATGAGCTATCTGCCTCAGTTAATCAGCAGAACCCATTTAACCCTTTCCCAGCAACATCAACACCTATTAATGGGATGGAATGTTTCAGCCAAATGCTGCCAGCCTGTTGCAATCTTCACAGTCATTGGTCTTTATTGTAGTATACATGACACATCATAAGGATAGCATTGTGCATCCTACTAGCCAGTCAGGAGGCAGGATTCAGCACCATCTCCCCTGTGCCACAGTTTGGTATAATATATGTGAAGGCAGATGCCTTTAGAACACACTTTTTCACCTCATGCTTTATCCCATTTCCTTCCTTAACATAAGGTCCCCCCCCCCCATCCTGGGAGGGGGAGGGGGTGTCAGTGTTTCATGTACACCCCATTCAGTGAGCATTCTGTGGCTGAGACAGCTTTTCAGTGTTCTAAAGGCAAAAAGAGAGAAATTTAGATGTGGTGGGGTCAGAACTTGGCCTTTTGGGTACAGTCCAGTTCTGTGAGTGTTCACAGCAGGGACAGATGGTTGGCTCTTCCCATTTCAGTGTTGTCCTCTTTCCAGCTGCCTTAAGTTTAGGGCACTAGTTTTTGCCATAGGCAGATATTGCCATGACCTGAGGGGGGCTGTGGGAGATGGAATGAGCAAATTGGAGAGTGGGCTCCTCTACCGGGCACAAGCTACAGCCCATTCTGATGCTTAACCTCAGTGGGTTGGAAGGTCTGGGACCTGTGTGAACTAACTGTCAGCAGTAGCTTCTAGGGAAGCAGCCATGTCAGCCTGCAGGAGGGCTTTTAGCTTCATTCTGTGAGGTTTTAACATCCTACTCCATGTGCCCATGTCCATTGTGTACAAAGAGGCAGGAGGTGAGCATGAATGGAGTACAGCTGAGTGGGTCTGTGCTCTGAATAGGCAGCAGCTTGGCTGGGTCTCTCAATCCTTTCATGCATGAAATTCATCACAAGGAGAGAACAGGCCTGGCTGCTCGGCAGCATGAGATAGGGCTGCTCATTTGCACAGGAGCTGGGATAAGAGGGATACTTCTGTGCTAGCGTGTACTGAAAGCACTGGTTGCTAGACTTGGTGCTTTGGGCCGCTTCTGGGGCTGGTTTCTCTGCCTTGTTTTACATTCCAGGCATGTTGCTGCTGGGCTTGGGCTATAGAGCTTTATGTTCTCCATTCAGCACCTTCCAAACCCATTCCCTCGCAGGACACCAGTGTTTTCCTGACTAGCAGCCAAATGACTGCTTAGCACAAGGCATGTGTAAACGGGATAAGCATCATGCTGGGAGTCAGGAGCCCCTGAGATCTATCTTGGCACTGACACCCTCTATGACCTGGGTCCAGTCACTTAATCTATCTGCCTCACTGGGGCGTTGTGAGGAATAGTTAATATTTATGAAGTGCTGAGTGTTATGATTAATTAGCTAATATTTGTAAGTCATCCTGAAGTGAAAAGTGCTATGTAAGGACTGCGTGTGTTTATTATTGTAACTGGAGATTATAGTGGAGAACGTGCCAGATTTAAGCCTTTGTAACTGAAACTCCCTGGACTGATTTACTTCAAACATACCTGGATGTTTAGAAGGGGAGCTATTCATCAAGATAGGTTGGAGGGTTCCAGTTTCAGTAGTTCTGGTCTTCTCTGTGCACACATTGTTTTGAGTCCATCACTAATACTTTTAAGTCTCTGAGGTACTGACTGCTGTTTATTTTATTACCCCATTTTAGATGCTTGTATTTTTCCCTCACAGCCTCACTATTTTCTCCTCTCTCGCTCTGACAACTCACTGACCATTTGTTTTCAAAATGAAATCTCATATTGGAGTTAGCCCTCCGGGAGGATTAGTCTCTATAACAAGCTTGGAAAGAGTTGGTTTAGAAATCTGGAGTCTGGTGGTCCCTTAAAGACTAACAGATTTATTTGGACATAAGCTTTCGTGGGTAAAAACCCACTTTTTATGCATCTGAAGAAGTGGGGTTTTTACCCACGAAAGCTTATGCTCAAATAAATCTGTTAGTCTTTAAGGTGCCACCAGACTCCTCATTGTTTTTGTGGATACAGACTAACACGGCTACCCCTCTGATCTTTAGAAATCGGGAAATAATGAACACTCCCTTTCATTAACCCTTTTCTCTCCATTAGCTCCTGTGGCACAGATTCTAATGAACAGTAGATCTCTACCAGTGTTGTACTCAGGGTTAGACTGGGCAATGCTGCACTGGAGATAGTACAGAGCTGTCCCCACCCTAAGGGGAGCTCTGGGAGGATTGCTGTTGTCTCCAGCTGGCCCACAGCCAGGGCCGGCTCTAGGCACCAGCTAAGGAAGCAGGTGCCTGGGGCAGCAAATCTGAAGGGGCAGCACTCCGATTTTTCTTTTCTTTTTTTCTTCTTCGGCGGCAGTTCGGTGGCAGCTTTTTCATTTCTTCTTCTTCGGCGGCACTGCTGCGGCCGCTTTTTTTTTTCCTTTGCTTCGCCAGTTGGGGCGGCAAAAAAGGTAGAGCCGGCCCTGCCCACAGCACTAGCTCACACAGTGAAATGAAGAAAATTAACATGCAGGCGAAATATATGGGAAATTTTCATGACAGCAAGATGTGTTGGTCTATAGAAGAGTCTTCCTAAGGGAAGACTTCCTAAGGGAAAGGGGGAAATTTCATCACTTGGCTCATTTAAAATGAGTCCTGGACAAGGCCTTGGATACAGGCCTGCACTGGCTGGGGGCAAGATGGATAGACTGGATGGAGCTAATACATCTTTTCCTTCACTATGTTCTGTGATTCTGTCCCATCTTTCTCTGATCATGTTCCCTATTGATTCCAGTGTCAATCCACACAGCTCCTGGCAGCCCTGGGTTTTACAGTCCCCTCCCAAGTACTGAGAACTGCTACTGCCTCAACGTTAGAAAGCAATGCCACAAAGGGCTGTGGGGAGGAGTGAGCAGGAGGTAAATGGTGACTGCTCCCCGGCTGAGTGCAGAGGGGAGAGGAGGTAAAACAGGAAAGGAGTCTGTCCCCTTCTAATTCCTGAATGCTGCAGTGGTTCCGGGGCAGGGCAGTCCGTCTCTTCCCCTTGACCCTGTCCTGGTACTCACAGGAACTAGAGCTGGAGGGAAAAGAGAGAATCTGCTCCAGGGGGATAGCAAACAAGAGTACAGTTTGTGGCAGGAGAATGCAAGACAATGTGGCTGGGGGCTCAGTGGGTAGGCAGAAGGGAGAGTGAAACAAGGGATGATGCTATAATGAGATGGAAGCAGACCCATCATCCTTCCCTAAAGATGCCAGAAGGGGAGAGGGGTGGCAGGTTACTGGTCCTGGCTGTAAGAAGTCAAATAGAGGAAGATGCTGGTGGGGCGGGGTTCACAGAGTCTTGCTGGGGCCTCCATGGGTTCCCAAGAGCACCCCAACTTGTGGATGCTCATCTGAACCCCAAATCTTCTGATGTCCTTTTGTCACTAGTTTTTAGGGATTTTCACACTATTGCCAGGGGTTCTGTGTAAGGTTTGTGTCAGTTTAAGCCTGTATTAACCTGCCTTTATGTTTCTTCTAGTGCCAAGGTCAGGTATTGAGAGCTGCTGTTAATACTGGCTGCCAGCAAAACCTCATCTCCATGAGCTGTCTGAAACGGCTGGGGTAAGAGCCTGGGGCAGAAGAGATTGGGGGTAGGATAGAAAACAAGGAATTGGGCATTAAAAACTGTGCTCACTCTGAATCTGAAATTACCACTTGCACTCATACCCCAACTCCCATTCACATCGGGAACTCCTGCATTCACACCCGACTGCTTAGGGTGTGGGGAGCCCAGGGCTGGAATAATGGGGGGGCTGCAGGACAGGACTGAGGGGCATTGGCAGAGGGGTAACAATTTGGCTGTGGAGACTGCATATCCCAAGATGACCAGCTGATGCTTTGCACCTGCTCAGGGGAACCCAGCCCCATAGTGCCTGTGGGTTACCCCTGGAGAATCTGGCTCCTGACATCCCCATTATATGAGTGAGATCCCCTCTCTTTTGCAAGCCAGTTCCAAAGAGACTGTGAAGTGCCCCTAAATAGTTGGAGCACCTATTGTTCTTTTGCCCATGCTCATTTCAGGCAGTAACATCCGTTGTGTCTCACAGGCTGGAGGAAGTGTCCGATGCTGGCAATGGGGATCTTTCCCTTCCTGTCCCTAGTGTCATTGGCCAGGTGGAGTGTGTGGAGGTGCAGCTTGGCCAGGAGACGGTGGTGTGCTCAGCGCTGGTCGTGGGTGAGCCCAGCAGAGCTTCCTCCCCCTTCCCAGATCTCTTCTTCCTTCCTTGCCGAGCACACCTAAATGGATCATCTAGGAGCAGGGGTGGAGGGGAAGGTGACATGGCCCATGGGGCTGGGCCAAGGCACAGTCCCGTGTACAATGCAGAGGCTTTGATCTTGCTGTGTCCCCCTCCACAAGGAGATGCTGGCAAATGGGGGCACTGGCTGAAGGGCAGTGGAGATGATGCAGCCCCATTGTGGGCCATTTTGCTTTGTCTCCTAAAAATGCCCAGACTGATTAGTTTATCCTGCTCCATGTACAATTCCCAGGGGGCAGGGGAGACTGAAAGAGAGCACGTGTGTTACTGCCTCCAACTGGATGGAATGTGTCTGGAGATCTGTTCCTCCTAGGGTCCATGGATGTCTCTGTATCATTGTCCTCGGCTGCAGAAATGTATTGTAGAGCAGTCTGGGAGTCCCCGCCAGTGTCCAGAGGCAGAATCTTGTTGGGAGGGGCCGTGGGGAATGAAGCCCATTTAATAGGCATTGGAGGGGGTGGCAGGGAGGTTGCATTTTTTCCAGGCATGTGAATCTCTGCATACAACAAAAATAAGAGATTGATTCTTCTTTCTGTCCCTTCTCCCCCATTTTATTTGTCTTCTCATCCATCCCTGATTTCTCCCATTGCCTCTCTCTGTCCCGTTCTCCTCAGCCTGCTGATTTACTCCCAGTGCCCTTCCTCTTCATGCTCCTCTGTTGTCTCTTGCCCTCCTCACTGTACTCCTGCCATTCCTCCCATTCCTCCATCTTTTCTGGTTTCTCTCCCTCTCCTGACCCCAGCTCACTTTATTCTCGTCCTCTTCTCCTCTCTGGTTCTCCTCACCCTTGGTTCTGTCTCTTCTCTGCGCGGGAGAGTCGGACTGCTCCTCTGGCCTCTCTGATGGCTGGTTGTCTATAGGAGCATAGACAGGTAGAGTGGCACTTAACCCCTGCAGGCTGCAGCTGTGGAAAGGATGACGTTCAGGCGTCTGGGAAGATGGAGTGGCCACACTCTGCTGTGCCTAGCATGCTGACCCCATACGTGCCAGAGGTTTGATAACTTATAGCAAGTTCCAGCCATGGGTATAAGGCAGTCACTCAGGTGCTGCGTAAGGGAGACTGTCAGAAAACACCTATGCCTGAGCCTGACCCACTTCCTCTCTGTTTCCCCAGATGATGAAATGCTGGAGTTCTGTTTCGGCCTCCAGACTCTGCTGTCTCTCAAGGTAAGGAATGGGTTTCCTCTCATCGCATCTGAACATAATGTAGGTGTGGTGGCACGTCTCAATGAGACCCCAAGCTGGGGCTGCAGGAAGCATGCGATACTGATGGCCAAACTTGCCAGGGTGTTGGCCACCCTGCTTCCTGATCTCTGACTGCAGCATGCTCTTAGCTGGCATGAGTATTGAACCCCTTTCCTGTCATTTTAAAACCTTATTGGATCAGGTAGTGGCTAGAGCCCTGTGCAGCCCCATGGCAGGGATCTACAGTTTCTCCCTCTCCTGATGTCTCTTTCCTGGGAGCCGGGGAAACGCTCTGCTAGGGGACATGGTGGGAAGAGATTTCATCTCTCAAAAGTAACCCCTTCCTGAGAGCATCTTTGCTGGAGCTTGAAGAATCCCTTCCAGTCTCCATCATGCAGGAGGATGGGCCTATCCATGCACGGAGTGCTTAGACTTGGAATTGTTCTGTGGAGGGGGACTCAGCTGGGAAATCTCTCTCAAGGGTTTTGCCTTCCCCCAGAGTAGGGCCCAGAACCCAGGAGCAGAGAGCATCTATGCCTGCCGTTCCCTTCTGGTGGATGCTGATCACTAAATGACCCAGAATCGCAGCCTGTGATTTAGATCCTAACACAGCTTGAAAAGAAAGCCCCCTGTCTCGATTTGCTGGCGACTCTCTCCAGCATGAACCATTAAACACCTACATACACAGCCTTCCTTACTGAAAACATCAGAGAAATGCTCCATAGGAGAAGGAATGCTTTCTGGGCTGGGAGAGCCCCTGTCCTGCAGGCAGAACAGAGAGAACTACAGAAGGAGAAGCCAGGAGTGAGGGGAAGCAGGAAGAAGCCCAAATGATAACCATGCTAAGGCCTGAGAAGGCCTTGTAGATTGGCAAGGAGGAGGCAGCAAAGATAGAGGAGGCAGGTAAATGGGGGTGACCATTCCAATGGGGGGAGAAGATGGGCTGGGAAGAGGCAGGAATGGGAGTGTAGAAAGTGAGTGGGAAAGTGGAGGATGGAAGCAGGGCGCAATGGGGGAAGGGAAAGCAATGGGGAAGGGCACTGAGTGTCACTCAATGTGTGGGATGGTGTTAGGCTGAGAGCTGAATGGCTCCGTGAACTGGAGGGAGGGGAAGAGACAGAACCAGGTGCACAGGGTGGAGTAGACAGAGGTAAAACTGTCAGTGTAACCCGGTGGCCATAAGATGAGAGAGGAACCCTGTGGTGGAGTAGAGGGAATGAAGGCAGGGGGCTAAGAGCAGAGGATGATTTGGAAGCTAGGTGGCCAGGTTGGAGTTGGATTCAAAACCAATGGAAAGTGATGGAGGGGGGCATGATGTCCTTGGCCTCCCTAAGAAGGGCCATGTATGCAATGTGTGAATAAGGCGGCTGTGCTGAACAAGGTGAGAGACGGTCACCTGAGCAGGGCCTTGCTGGGGAGCGGGAGGGAGCGGGGGTGAGGGATGGGAAGGAGCAATGGAGGTGTATTCAGAAGAAGAGGTGCAGGTGTGTTGGGGGATGGAAGGAAAAGAAGGCCGAGGGTAGGGAGCTTCTTTAGGAAGAGCAGCTGTGAATTTGATGGGAGGGTGCTCTCCAAAATCTGGCTTGGCGAGAGGGAGGGAAGAAGGGGGTGTTGATTATTAGATGGGCTCCTGCTTCTCTGTGGTAATAACACCATACAGCCCACGTACTCTGCTGATGCCTTGTGACTGATACGTACTATGGATAACCAGTTCTCGTCTGCTCCCATTAGTGCTGCATCGACTTGGAGGAAGGAGTCCTGCGGCTGAAAGCCCTGAGTGAAGAGCTGCCTTTCTTACATGCCTCTGACGAGCATGGGCAGTGATGGGCCGGCTCCCCATGTCCACAGGGAGGAGACTCTATGGCTTACCAGGGAAAGCTGCAGCTGGGGCTGACACACCTGGCCCTTGCTGAGTCCTGCGCTGAGGCTTCCATGGGGGAGTGAGGAGGTAAACGGGAGCCAGGTGCTGTCCCGCTGTTGATGCAAGCTGGCCTCTTGTATGGAGAGTTCTTCCTCCCTGCAATGGACCCTCCTGCTTGTCCCCATGTGCTGAGTGGATATTTGTTCTCATTTCTCTCTGTGTCCCCGTTCTCTCTCTGGTCTCTGCTTCTGCCCTTTTAGTGACTTCTTTTTATACTGCCATGTATTGATAACATAGGAAGTGTCACTGCGAGCAGTCTCCAGGGGTTCTGCCTGCAGAGAGATGGTGGCTTCTTCTAAAGCCTCTGAAGATTGTTTTAAAAGTTTCCCTTCCCTTTTGGCTGCAGATCTACCTGGACAGGAGGGGCCCCTCTTTCCCATGCTGCATGGGAAGGGCCCTGTGGCCAATCCTCCCTGTCCTCTGGAGAGCTGGATTTCATTACCCTGCACTGGCTCAGAGCAGACTGGAAGGATTTTACTGGAAGCAGCTTAAATTGCAGTCACTGCATTTTGAGAGTTTTCATTCAAAGCAGGAAGACTTCTAGGAAATGCTGAGCTGAAACACCCTGGGAGCGTTGAGCATACATAGGCGCCAGGCCTGGCCAGCCAGCCTTAGCTACTAGACTCTGTATTGTATGAGCTCAAGTGCTAGTCTCTCCCCCTGTTAATCGTAGTAACTGGGCTGACACCCCTGCCAGCCATGAGCTCCCGTCACCAGATTTACACACCCATCAACTCTGCTTCTTCACTCTGAGCTCCAGGGATTCAACTTAGATACCACATGAACTCCAGGCCTACACCTGCCATCAGCTCTCCTCCTGGTCCCTGGCAATTCAACACAGAGACACCATCAACTTCAACCATTGGACTTCCACACCCTATTGACTACGTCTCCTGCATGAAAGCAAAGAACCCGACTCATTCCCAGTATCGGCTCAGGTCACAGAGTTACAAACTCATCTGGGATGGACAGGACCTCTGGTGGGTCACTTAGTCATTTCTTCTTCATACAGGCAGGCCTGATTTCATTACCCTAAAAGCATCGCTGATAGATGAGTATGTAGTCTCAAGGGACAGACACACCGCCACCATTCTGGGCAGCTTGCGCCATTCCCAAATGGGTGTATTGGTTAATTTTTGTTTCTAATCTTTGACTAAAATTTTCTATTCTACAATTTGTGCCCAGTTACATCTTTTCTCCTCAGCGACTAATGAGAATAACTGATGCCAGCCCTCTTCATAACATCTCTTCATCCACTTGTAGATGGTTCCGACGTCCCCGCTCTGCCATCTTCTTCCTGGACCTAATTGGGTCTCTTTGTGGGTCTCACTTGTGAAACATTTTATTATTTCTCCTGTGCTCATTTGAGCTCTCCGGTTTATCTGTCTTTTTTTTTGGTAAAAGGATTGCCCTAAACTGGATGCAGGACTCTGAGGCTTAACCAGTGCTAAGAAGAGTGGAATAATTACCCTGCTAATTTTATATATAATACTCCTGTCAATGCGACTCAGAATGGCACATGCCCCTCTTAATAGCAGTGTTGGACCATTGATTCTTATTCAGTTCATCACCCATTATATCCTGCAGCTCTTTTTCTGTAGCATGGCTGCCTTGTTCATTGTTTTGCAATTGTGCATCTGATGATTCCTTCCTATGTGAAGCACTCTACATATCTTTCCTGAATAATACCAATGATTTAAAGGCCTCGTCTCATATGTGTCATGATTGTCCTGTATTATGATCCTATCCCTCTGCAGTCCCTCCTGGATCTGTATTGTTTGTGCAGTCTTTAATGACAATATTGACTGGGATTGGAACCTCCTTCAAATTTGACATTGACTCTTGAATGAATACAATTTGTTAAATGTTATTCATTTTTATATCCCATCCTGTAGCAACTCATCTAGTCCATAATTCTTGAGTTTCACTCAAAGGATGGCTTGTGGAAATGTATCAAATAACCTGTTGAAAGCAATAGCTATTATGTCCACTGCATTTCCTTTATCCATTAAGTTTATTTCATCAAACAAACGAACAAAACCTAAGAGCCCTCTCTAGCTCAGACTGAAGTCAATGGGAAGATTTGCACTGATTTTAATGGGAGAAGGATTGGTTCCGATGGTAAATTGGCATCATTTTTCTTTGACAAATTTACTTTGCCTATTATTTATCACTTATTTTTGTGTAGGTGCTCAGTAGTTGGCTGCTCTATTAGCTGTTGGAGCAATATGCCAAATATTGCAGTTAAATTTACTCATCTATAAGCCCTGGGAATCCCCCTCCTTTGCTCTCCTTCAGAGCATCCTTTGTGCCTTCTCTACCCTTCCACAGGCTTCACATTTCTTCAGTTCTCAAATACAATCATCAAAGGTTCGGAAACTTCTGCTAATTCCAATTGCTTGGTGGGGTGAATTTCACCAGGCCCTATGACTGTGAATACATTTAGGTTATTTGGCTAGTCTGTAATCTCTTCCTCTCCATAATGAACCATGTCAGCTGCTGCCTTTGTTTGTTTGTTCTCCCCCCGCCATCGGTAAGTAGCAGACCTGCCCTTTTCTGTCGTCCTCTTGCTTCCCACATAAATATTATAATGATGGTTTCTTGTTTCCTTTGCTAGTATTCCCTGATTTTGTGCCTTTGCCTTTCTGCTCTCTCCTCTCCTCCTCCCTTAGGAATCATACATGTTCACGTGCTTGCATGCAATCTCCGTGTCAATTGTGTTGAGGGTGATTCTGCTTGATTCCTACATCAGTGGTGGGGAACTCTAATCCCCAATTTGTAATCAGCTCCATGGCCGCAGATGTGCTCTTCCACTCTCCTCCCAACTGTATCAGTCGAATGTCTGGTACTTCCTCCAGGTTACTCAGTACTCTGCCCTCTGGCATTTACCTTCTCCCTGAACATTGTGGACCCTTTTGTAGATAACTACTGCAGCATTTCCCCCCAGCACTGTCTGGATTGCCAAACCCTGACCCAGCCCCAACTCATAAAGGGCAGCAGCAATACAAGCAGTGAGAGCTGCAGGCCTGAATGCAATGGGTTGGGATCCCTTCTGCCACTTCCTTGGCTCCCCACCTTCATTGGGAACTGAATCATGATGTGACCCGAGCTCTCAATGCCTCCTTTCCTTTGCATCAGAAATGGAACCTCTGCCCTTCTCCCCTGCTGGGCTCCACCCTCCCATGACAGCATCAAATGAGGCAGCGTTGCCAACTTTCACCATTTCATCATACGTTTTGCATGGTTGGTGTTCTTCTTAAAGCCCCAGCTCCTGGAGTCATTTGATGACATGAGAACCTCAGCTTGATTTTTTTTTAAAAAAGTCAGTTTCATGGTGCAGTAACTCAAAAACTAAAGTCTAAAAACCAAGTGACAAAGAAGCCCAAATAGATTAATTGTAAAATCTCATGATTTTTAAGCCAATCCCATAATTTTCAGGGGCCTGAAGCATGATGTTTGACTCCTTAGGGTTGGCAATGCTGATGATGGCTTAATACTAGTTTAACTCTGGAAAAGGCCCAAGTACATTTACAAATGTTTTTTCTCCTAGAGCCATTGCCAGTGCTTAGTCATCCCTGTTTTCCTGAAAGGCACCAAAGACTAAAAACCTCTGTCACTGGACAGGAAAACAGATCAAGAATTAATATTTGAAGCAGGATTTTACTATGAACTATAAATACATTAAGGGGGTAACTACCAGGGAGAGTGAAGAGCTATTTAAGCTAAAGGACAATGCTAGCACAAGAACAAATGGATATAAACTGGCCATGAACAAATTCTGGCTGGAAATGAGAAGAAGGTTTCTACCCATCTGAGGGGTGAGGTTCTGGAACAGCCTCCCAATTGGAGTTGTGGGGGGGAAACAAATGCATTAGTTTCAAGAGAGAGCTGGATGAATTTATGAGTGTGATTGTATGGTGGGGGTGCTTGTGATGGGGGGGGGGGCACAGCTAAGCAGCCCTGGGGCTCACTTCTGATTTATGTCCTGTGTTCCTAAAGCTCGGGCTTCAGGGCTTCAGCCAACCACTTAAAGGGGTCAGGAAGGGATCTCCCCGCCCCCCCAATGTATTCTGGGAGGTTTTTTATCTCTGTCCTCTGAAACATCAGGGATGGCCATAGCTGGAGCTGGGACACTGGGCAGGGTGGGCCAGGGGCTCTGAGATGGCACCGAGCATTCTCTCTCTCAGGGGCTGGGCTGGCTGGGTCTTGCTCACATGCTCAGGATCTAACCGATCCCCCCAGGTCAGATTGGCAGGTAGCTTGGGGGGAATAGGGGGATTTGCCTTCCTCTGCAGCGTGTGGGTGCAGGTTGCTTGCCAAGATTATCTGGGTATATCTCACTTACTCATTTCCCTGCCATTGCAGGAGGCTTGGGCACTGGTGCACTTGGTCCCTTCTTTTCTCTGCCTGTGGCACATTATAGTTTAGTCTCCTGTGGGCTATAATATTTTGGTCTCATTTCAGTTGATGGGTTTAGTGTGCGGGTGCTGGGTGGTGCTGGTGGCCTGTGAGCAGGTCAGACTAGACTCAGCAATTATTTTTTGTCTAGCTCCAAATTTCTTGGTCAAAGCATAGTCAAGGTCCAGACTCCAGAGAAAATAATAATAAATAATAATAAAAAGATTTTGGGGTCTGTTCAAAAGCACCTGGCAGTCTGGACTTGGCCCACGGTCCACCTATTGACTAGATGATCTAGTGGTCCCTTCCAGCCTTAAACTCTATGATCCCAGCCATCATTCAGGGGTGCGCAAGAGGATCCTTGGGGGTGCGGGGCAGGAGCGCTTTTTTTAAAAAAATTTGCTTCGTCAGTTTGGGCGGGAGTCCAAGCGGCTTTTTTTGTTTTGCTTTGGCAAAAATGGTAGAGCCGACACGGCAGGGGGTGCATGCTCAAAATTTTTTTACTGATAGGGGTGCGCGATCAAAAAAGTTTGGAGACCACTGAGCTACAGCATCTCTAAATGCCAGACGTTTGGTTCTGCACATGTGTACCACAGGGGGTGCTGTTTAACCCCCTGTTGCTCAAGGAGCTAGGGAACTCTCAGCTGTATGCACAGACTTGCAGCCTCGATGGTGCTCAGCTGGGAAGCATCTAGAAGTATTAAAGGGCAATTGGACTCTGAACACTGTTAAAGGCAGCATCATGGGCATCCATGTTGATCATCTCTCAGGAAAAAAAAATCTTTTTGTTTGTAAACTGAGCACCCTCCACTGGGGTCGGTAAGGTCCAGATCCTAACTTCTGTTGGTTTCAGTGTAAGTTAGGAGCCTATATTCCTTCAGGGATCTGGGCCTAAGTGCCAGCCCTGCAAACTGCCCTGGGATCTGAGTCAAGCTTGGCTTGTTCTTTCTCCTCTGTCATCACTTGTGATAAAGATTCTGCCCTAGTGCCATCAGTGGATTTGCACAGCTGTAACTGATCATAACTTAGCAAGGCAGGAATAGAATCCAGCTCCCTCTCTCAGCTGTGCTGGCTCTGCAGGGTGAACAGGGGCCAAAAAGCGCTACGAGCAGCAAACATGACTCGAACGTACCCTGGGAAGAAGGGGCCATGGTCAGTCACTTTTCATTGTAGAGCCACACTTTAATGGCAGTTATGGCAGTTAGACTCATGTGGGGCTGCCACCATCGATTGCTGGGTTGGGACATGAAGAGTGGGAAGGCGTCACTTGGCATGAAGGCAATATAAAGACTGCTCTGGTCCTCTCAGCAGGAGACAATGCTCCTGTTTCGTGCAAGGTGTTCTTATCCTCGCCCATCCTCCCAGGGTTGTGAGTTCAATCCTTGAGGGGGCCACTTAGGGATCTGGGGCAGTACTTGGTCCTACTAGTGAAGGCAGCGGGCTGGACTTGATGACCTTTCAAGGTCCCTTCCAGTTCTAGGAGATATGATAT